GTCAGTGTTGGCAAACCTTTTCATCACCACGTGTCGAAATGGGGGGAGGCGCATGCACGTGTGTGTGCCGGAAACCAGAAGAGCAGCCGCCCAGTGTGCATGCGCTCACCGGGAAGATGATCTTCTGGTTTCCGGTCTTCCAGTTTCTGGTGCCCATGCACGCACAAAGACCAACTGGCTGGTGCGCATGCATGTACCAGAAACCAGAAGATCATCTTCCTGGCGCATGCATGTGCACTGAGCAGCTGTTCTTCTGGTGCTCCCGTGTGCACGAAGGCCAGCTGGCTGTTCCAGCAGAACCCAGAAGAGCAATGGGCGATGGCTTGTATGCCCAGAGCGATGGCTCTGCATGCTACTTCTGGCACGCATGCCATAGGTTCGCTGTCACGGGGATAGGTAGGCGGCTTGTACACAAGAGTACCTTTGAGTTGATATTTTGGGGTAGATTGTGTATCTTTCTCTCTTTTTTCCCCCTTTCTCTTTCTCTTTTCCTTCCTTTCTTCCTCCCTCCTTCCTTTTTTTCTGCCTTCCTTCCCCCACCCCACCCCCACTCTAGTTTAAATTACTTGGATTGGTCCCATGGTTTTTCTGGGTATGGTATATAGTGTGGAATCCTTGGTGGTCTCTGAGCTTGATGGGGTTTTTTTGCAGATGTGCATTAACATCATCATTGCGCTGATGATATTACCTAGTTTGGTAATGAAATGACTGCAAGAAAGCCACCAAGGTCAGAGAGCACCAAAGACCCCACAGTTCAACCCCGAGCTACAAATATTCTCTTCTCTACGGTATATAGTCTAAGAAGTGTCACTTTACTACATGCATCAATTTACATAATAATGTATTTGAAGATACAAGTACTTTGGATTTAGGTATCATGCAGCTGTCTGCACTCTTGGAGTTACTTAAGGATTCTGTGCATAATGTTGTTCAGAGTCGCAAAGTTCAACCCCCACTCGGAAGAGCTTTTTCTAGCAGATATGAAATGCTGAACAAGCAACCTTTGGCAAGGAAGAGTAGAAGTGCAGAAAGCAAGGAAGATAATGCTGTGAACTTTTCTAGTCAAAAGTTATGCTTTGTCTGCAAGTGGACTAAAATTATCTTTGCAATCCAGCAGCTTGTCAAATGAAATTTAATCTGTTTTGAAGCTGGGATGGGAAGAAAGCATTCCTACTGAGGAAAAGCAACATAGAAAATAAGTAATCCAAATCTGGCATATGCTGTACTTGAAGAAAGTGATATAAATGAATTTATTCACTAGCATATCAACTGATTCCATATGAAAGTTATGAATGTAGTAAACTGTAAACCATGTATTATTTGATTTAATGATGTGCTGTCAAGTTGCTCTTGATTCTTTACAACTACATACACATTCTCACCAGGAGACTCTATCTCCATCTTGGTCCTTGAGGTCTTCCAATTGCCACTGTAATTAAATCCATCCATTTTGCCTTGGGTTGTCTTCTGTTTTTGATTTTTATCTTTCCCAGCAATATAAACTTTTCCAAGAGGTAATCACATAATTCCCCCATATGCAAACATTGTTTAGATATACCTAACCCTAGCTAACAAAAGATGCAAATCTCAAGTAGGTCCAGATGTTGAGTACATATGGTTTGGGGGCAGGGGGGAGTTGTGAAAGAGGATCCAGCTGAGATTGTACAACAGCCTTTTGTCTCCAACACACCTTGGTAAGGAGAAATGTCAAAAGCAACTCTCCTGCCACTTATTCACTCATCTCCTGACTTAAAGATGAGTTGAATTCTAGTGACATTAGTTATTCTAAATCCAGGATAAAATGGGTCTAAGCTGTGGCATGAGACAAATCATTGCCTTATGTATTCAGGGTTACAGATGAAGGGAAATTGCTGCAAAGCCTCATGGAACTAAATTTAACTTTTTTGCTCTTATTGCATTTTACAGTGTGGTAAGTGCCAGTATCAAAGAAAGTTACTCTAAAATTCAACTTTTCCAATGAAAAGAAAACACAGTGCAGAAAGGTGAAACTCTATGGCTTTTCTTAGCTTACTAAAGTGTGTGTGTGTGTGTGTGTGTGTGTGTGTGTGTGTGTGTGTGTGTGCTGAATAGGGGAACGGAATATATTATTTGGAAATAATAGTCACACCAGCGTGAATAGTTAAGATTGTACTCATCTTAAGGAAAATGAAAAAAGAACATATTGACATTCAGAAACACTTAAAAAAAAACACAGAAGACAGAAGGGGGGAAAGTATCGCTTATCTCTCCAGTCAGTCAAGGAACGCCAAAGAAATGATGGCAAAGGAAGCCTTCAAAGTCAATCAAATGTAGTACTCCACAGTAGGCCTGCATCAAAGTTCCATCTCATGGAAGTTTCCAACCAAATTACATGGACATCCAGCTATAATCATAGCTGTTTTCAGCGTCTTTGTCTAATGTTGCCAAGATCAGATTCTTTCCTCTTGTTCTTGAACGTCTTTGCCTCCCCCTGCCAAGGATGAGATCATCCAGGTTTAGTGAGTATTTGTTTGTTATCATTGTATTGAAGATGAGAAAGATCATCCCTCTATGTAGGCCCAGGTATTCCATATCAAGTATAATACAAGACGCAGTATAACCCTTTAGTGAGTAAAATAAATGCTTAATTCTGTTTTACAGATTCAACCATTGTCTTCTGGCAGAAGATACAGAACAATTAAAACTCGGACCACACGTTTTCTGAATAGTTTTTATCCCAGAGCTATAATTGCACTCAACAATGAACTTAAAGGGCCACCATCAGTGAGCTGTTGGACAGCATTACTTGGTCTGTTGTGTGGATGTTTGGGTGGTTCAGAGGCAGGGAATTTGTGGTGGGTGGGGGGGTGTTTGGGGATTGTTATGTGTGTTGGACCTGGTCTTTGGGTGTTATGTGTTATATGCTGGGTATGCTGGGTATATACGTACAATGACAATAAAGTTATACTTATACTTAGGTATTTAAAGTGGTAGGCGTCATGAACCTACACATCACTGCCCAATCCCTTCTAGCCAAACTTTTCATGAAACCAACCCCATCACAGAGATGGGCAGAAAATGCCAAAATGGTAGTCATGACTATGCAAACAAAGCCCTATTTATGTGTCACACATAAAAATGGGGTGAGGCTTCAATTATGTGGTTGTGGGTGCGACCTTGAGTTTTTGGACTCTCCCCCAACTACCCATGCAAAGTTCCAAGGGCACATGACATTTGAAGCAACAGAGCTGCTCTGAAGAATCGCAAGCGGGCTCTTTATGCCGCTTCTTTTTGTATTAGGTCAGACTCGGTTCACAATCTTTTACAATCAACTATGCTAACAGGTTTGAATGAATTCAAACCTGCACTCTTTGAAATAAGCATAGCCAGTTATCAATCTTTAGCATGAAAATAAAAGTTTGTTTAAATTTTAAAATAAATAAAAAGTAAGTAAAGTGTTTTGCTATATATCAGGAGTCCCCAACCCCTGGGCTGTGGACCAGCACCGGGCCACGGCATGCCGGAAACCATGCAGCACAAACAAGCAAAGCCCCATCCGTGGGATGCAGGCAGCACGTGAAACCACGCCCCCTCCGGTCTGCAGAAAAACCTCTCTCCATGAAACTGGTCCACAGTGACAAAAAGTTTGGGGCTGCTGCTCTACACCACATACATCCACTGTACTTTCAAGCAACTTTGCAGTTACTTGGGAATTTAATGATCTGATTGTGGGCTTCTTAGTGAGTGGTAGAGTGTCCTAGAGGACACTCTTGCCTCCCAATCAGGAGGCTATGAGTTCGATCCGAGGTAGAGGCAGCTATTTCTCTCTCTGGGCACAATGAGAATATATCTGCTGAACAAAGCTCCGCATTGGTGACAGGAAGGGCATCTGGCCATTAAAACACTCTGCTAGCTCCATTCAGTTGCCCAGACTCCACCCAGCAAGGGATTATAGAGTCAGTAAAAGATGATGATGATGATTGTGGTGTTCTTGGTGCTCTCTCTCTTAGTTTGGTTTTTTTCTTGCAGATGGTTCATCAACTAGGTAACTTCATCAGTGCTGGAAGGGAGTGGGGTCTTGTTCTCGGTTTATAGGCAATGGCTTGTCCTGTCAGTATCGATGGAAGTGTTCTTGGTAATTCCTTCAATAGGCTGTTTGATTGTTTGTCTGACTCTTTCTCATTGTCTAGCTTTAGTGTTTCTTGACATGTCAGATTCAATAGAGGTAGCAGTTCTTGAACAAATCCCTCCTCTTCTGAAGCCTTAAACCAGCAGAAGCTGAGTCTAGAGCAGGGGTGTCAAACTCAAGGCCCGGGGGCCAGATCTGGCCCATGGCGTGCTTAGATCTGGCCTGCAAGGCTACCCTGGAAACAGTGAAGGATCAGCCTGCAGTGCCTCTGCCAGTGAAAATGGAGCTTGCGAGGGCCGTGGGTGGCCCTTTCAAGCTCCGTTTTCACTGGCAGAGGGTTGCAGGACCCTGTCCCAGCTGAAAACAGAGCTCAGGAACCTGTTTTCACTGGCAGAGTGCTCAAGCCACCACAGGCACCCCCTGACATGAGTGACATCATGCTGGCCACGCTCACCCTGGCCATGCCACACCCAGCCTCCCCAAGGTCAAACACAACCATGATCTGGCCCTCAATGAAATCGAGTTTGACACCCTTGGTCTAGAACTTTGTTCCTCAGAAGTCAAGGATCTGATCTTTGGAAATATTTATATTTATCAAGCCGACAGCTCAAGCCTGCAATAATAATCCTTCACCATATGATCCATGCTGCTGCTTATTATTTGGTGGGGAGGAAATAGTAAGTTTCGGGGTTACCTGAAAAGTAGCCGACTAGATCCAGAGAATCTGAAAGCAGCTTTGCACCATCACAGTGCAAATTCCACCCTCATTTCACATGTGCATGACATCATGTGAGACCCTAACCAAAAGGTCATTGTTGCATTGTGATGCTACAAAACTTGGTTCCTCATTGCCTCTTCACTTGGCTCCACCAAGAAAACCCTCTTGCAACAGGCCAGATCATTTGGAGCAGTGAATCTATGCAACTAATAATGGTTGTTAATCTTGAACAACAATGGGTTTCTTAATCTATTGTGTACTTGGGGTGAGTTAATAAAGGAAGAAAGCATAAGGCCGTCTCTCTGCGATTCCCACTGAAGATGTCGGTTTCTCTACAGCCTTCTTTTTTCCTGAGGCTGCTAACCTGAGGCAGCCTGCAGGTGAGATATTCCAATTTTGGAAAAAAAAAAAATCAAGCTTCTCAGGAGTAAACAGCTTACAATAGTTTAGCTTAATTGCATTTGCATAAATTAATTATGGATACATTTTCACAATCAAAAGTGGCATTTTGATACCAGGCTCTAATTAATCTAATTCAACAGGACACAATTATGTTCCAGTGTCAAGTTCAAAATTGAACACTGTAGTACACGGAGATAAAACTTGACTTAAGACATGGCCATAATTCTTTACATTCACAGACTGAATAATTCAGATGAATCTGAACATAGAAGCTGTATTTACCCAAACCATTACTGGTTCCTTTATTTATGCAATACATTGATTAAATCACCGCTCTTCTCAATTCAATTTCTTGATCACATTCATGGACAAATGTATCAGGCGAAGCTTGCGCTATATTTGCCATATTTTAACTGGCATATTTTTCATTGTTATGACAGATCTTCGGGAACATTTTATTCATGAAAATGGGATTACATTTCACGAAAGTACTCCGGGTTTTCCTTCTCTCTTTTAATACATTAAAGTCTGATGTTGGCATAAAGAAATATGTACTGGAAGGCGTTTCTGACAGTCATGTTTACTAACACATATTTCTTTTTTTAGGGCTGTTCTTTAAGAAAGAAAGAAAAGCTGCGTGTAAAAATTACCTTTCAAAGCCATCTTCCAAAATGTCCTTTTGTTCAAGCTGTTTGTTTTTTGATGTTTTGCATATGTGAAATCTCTGAACAAGTCGGGTTGCCATGGAATTGTTAAATATGGATGTTGTTAGTACTGGGAATAAATCAGTGGGTAGAGGCCCATATGTCCTGTAATACTCACCAGACAATAACTGCAACTAGATAATTAGAAAATATGTAGTTAGGGACCATATCCTTGACCAACTTTAATGGGCTTGGTAGCTCATTGGAGGCTCCATGGTCCATCATTTTAAATGATATTATAGGAATTGTTGGGTAACGTGATGTTTTGGAGGGTAAAATAAAGCCTTTGATCAATTTTTTTTTAAAGGATTTTATTTTATTTATTTTATTTTATTTCAAATTTATATACCGCCCTTCTCCCTGAGGACTCAGGGCGGTGTACAGCCAGATAAAAACATATAATACAAACATTAAAAACAATTAAAAGAAATATCTCTGTTTGGCCCCAAATTTAAAAAGACAAACCAATTAAAATTATTAGAAGAATTTGTTAAGCCAGCCTGGCTTGCTGAAATAAGAAAGTTTTAAGGGCGCGGCGGAAGGCACCGAGGTCTTGGATTCTCCTTATCTCCTGGGGCAGCTGATTCCAGAGGGTAGGTGCCCCCACAGAGAAGGCCCTCCCCCTGGGGGTCACCAGCCTACATTGTTTGGCTGATGGCACCCCGAGGAGGTCCTCTCTGTGGGAGTGTACGGGTCGATGGGAGGTCGTCGGTGGCGGCAGTTTAATTTAACAGATTAAAAAAGTAGGAAGGGACCTTGTAGGTGATCTAGTCCAACCACCACCACTCCACCCAAACAGGAGACCCTACACCATTTCTGATAAATGGAATTCCAGTCTCTTCTTGAAAGCTTCAAGTGACGAAGCTCCCACAACTTCTGAAGGCAACTTCTGTTCCATTGGTTGATATTTCTCACTGTCAGAAAATTTCTCCTTATTTCTAGGTTAAATCTCTCCTTGATCAGTTTCCATCCATTATCCCTTGTCTGGCCTTCAGGTGCTTTGGAAAATAGCTTGACCCCTTCCTTTCTGTGGCAGCCCCTCAAATATTGGGACACTGCTATCATGTCTTCCCGGTCCTTCTCTTCACTAGACTTTCCTTCAGCCCCAGTAATAAGTCATGGAATAATCATACTATGATTTTGAGGAGTTCTTGCATTTTTATTTTTATTTCACAGGCAGTCCTTGTTCAGCCTCCACAATTGTGACCGGCAACTTAAATGAAGCAGTCACTAAGTGAAACCACATCTGTGCTTATGATCTTACTTCAGCTGTCCCAAGTGGAAGGAGTGTTCACAAAATTACTTTTCATCGTCATCATTGTAATTGCGAATGGTCGCTAAATGAGACAGGCAATAAATGAAGACTACCGGTATTATGCAAACTATCATTTTAAGTCTGCATTCATAAAGCAACATCACAGGATCAACACGGCTACAAAATCAATTGTAGCAATGCAAATGGTTAAAAAAAAAAAAGACTCTTTATAAACTGAACGGTTCCCAAAATTGCCCATATTGCCCATATATATTTGTCTCTCGTTTGAAAAGAGATTAACTCAAACCTTGATACACAATGCATAGAAACAATCTACAGATGTAACTCAGCTATGCATCTCACTTTCCGTCTGATGTTTAAACAATGTTGTTAGACAACCTTCTGAGCTGAAAAATTCATAATCATTAATATCTAGTTATAGATTCCAATATTGGGATTCCAATACAGCTAAAAATAACATATATGCCCTCAACAAACAAGGATTGATCCAGAGTTATATTAACAATTGTTGAGATCAGCATAAAATGTAAATATAATAGGATAAGACCAGTGGGTCTCAACCTTCCTAATGCCGCGACCCTTTAATACAGTTCCTCATGTTGTGGTGACCCTCAACCATAAAATTATTCCTAAAACCATTGAAAATATGTGTTTTCGGATGGTTTTAGGCGACCCCTGTGAAAGGGTCGTTCAACCCCCAAACGGGTCCCGACCCACAGGTTGAGAACCACTGGGATAAGAGTAAGGGTTGATGGTCCAAGTCTGAATTATATCAACTTCAGCAGGTTAATTGCAAGCAACCATCATTTGTTTTACCAAAACAGGATATTCAAGCTTGTTATATCAAGGGCCATTAATAAATAATAGCAATTGATCCAGCTTTCTGTAAAGAAAAAATATTGGTTTAAGGACTGCCAAAATTTAAAATTTTTTTAACATCAGGAACAATTTCATATAGAACAGATAAATTAAATTCTTAAGTTGAACATGATGTCAAAAAAGTACCCGGAGATAATTTCATATTTTTAATTCTGTAAAAAAAATTTAAAATCAACCTCTTCAAAGTAAAAGCACAAAATACAGATGTATTGTAGACACTATGTTTAAACTAACCTTATTTAAATCCTGATATCAGCATCAAATATCAACTCTTTGCTTATTTTAGTAAAACCACTTACTATTTTATGCTAATCCTTTAGGGCCTGATTCAACAGAATATACAAACAAGAATCTTTGGCATCAGGTTAAACATAATCTTTACTTCTCAAAGCTATAATCCTATAAAAGAAAAAAATACAAATATATAATAGGGGGACAGAGAAATTGAAAAGTTGTACAGTTAGTACTCGGTATATCATAGATGAAGGATTAACTATAAAAAGCAGAATATATTAAGTTCTTTTAACAAAAAGGGAAAGGATTTAAAAGTGTTTTTAAATGTCTGAGCTGAATACCAATGTGTCCACTATTTTATTATTTAAAGATAAATCTCTTAACAAAAAAAGAGAAAGAACAGAAAAAAAGCTGGTAAAAGTACTATTGAGTGAATAATATCTAACTTGCTCTTTGTTGTACTCCTGATATTCACTATTTAAAAATATTCAAAATGTTCATGTATTTTTCATTTTACTTCTTTAGCCAATTCTTTTTCCCCTTAAAAACCATGCTCCAAATGTTTCAGTTTGCCATGCTGCTTAAGATAAAATGTACATGGACACCATTCTTGCTTAAATTTGGCCAAACATCTGTTATGAATATATGCTGTTAATTTTGCCATTGCTGTTTAGTTTCCAAGCTTAAGCTCCCAATGGTAACACATCCCTTTTCCAAAGTTGCACTAAGTTTACCCTCAGGACTGTCAACATGTATCTCAGTAAACTGTGAGTTTCTTGTTGTTGTTGATTTGTCGTGGACTTATTCCTAATTTTAAAATCTGACTTGCATTCAAAGTTAGATTCTAATACTTTTAGCATGATGATTCAGATCATAACTTATTATGATCTTCTGTTGGTGTATATCAGAATTTCCCAACATCAGCAGCTTTAAGACACATGGACTTCAACTCCCAGAATTCCCCAGCCAGCAATAGGGTCCTCGGTTGGGTTATATGGAAGACTGAACAAAGGAATTACTGGTATTCAAAACTTTTAGACAGTAATCACATCCTCACAAAATAAACATCCTCAATATTTTTTTGCAATTTTTTTTTTTTACAAATGAAATGCTAGAATTTCAATTGCATTGTTGCAGGCATCATCTTGAATTGTGGTCCACTAAATTTTGATTTTTATTCTGCCAAATTATGTTTCTATCATGGGCATGAATGTCCATGAAACAGGGGCAGGGGGAAGAATGAAAGTAATTGGCAACAGCTATGTTTGCAGAAGAGTCAAAGAAGTCAAGACGATAGCCAGGACCATCTGGTCAACATGCCCCTTTGTCCATGCATGTGATATCAACATGTGCAAGAAAGTTAAGAGTTTTGAACGGTTGCAGGTTTGATAATATGGTTGTAGATGCCATCTTGATTGACTCTCCATGATGATGCCCCTGTGACAGATCCATAAGCAAATGCTGCAAAAGGATAATACTGTACTAGGAATAGAAATCAATCAATTTGTTGCCTGTCTGAGCTAATCAATGTGATCAATCAGATTTATAATTTAATATGGACCAGATTTACCTCTGAATAAAATCACCTGCATTTATCATATTTCACTATAACAAAATGTCTCCTACTGTACTCAGCTTTCTGAAATAAATTGCTGAGATAAATAAGTTCAAGCATCCATTCTGTAATATAAGAATTGCAGAGAGAGAGGGGGGCGGAAGGAGGGAGGGAGGGAGGGAGAGGGAGAGGGAGAGGGACAAGGGGAGAGAATTTGGACCACTGCATTAATAGAAAAGTTAGTGTATAACTTTCAAATTAGTAAAGGTTCGATTGGCCAAACTAATTTCTTTACTAAAAAGTTTATTTACTAACATTTATATCATATGTTAGCAAACCATGAGTTCTTTCTTGTATATGGTTTGCCTAAAGATATTTGGAACAGTTAAAGTTAGAATATTTCTGGGTGTTAATTATTTTTGCATAGTTAGCTATTTATTCCTTGTTCAAGTAGTTATTAAAACTAAAAACAAGAAAACATTAAACAATAAGCTGAAAATGCAGTAGGATAGCATTCTATTATTTGGGCCTTTCAGATATGTGTTAGAGCGCAGGAATTCTAAAATTGCATCTGGAAGTACATCTGGAGGGCACCAGGTTGAATGTCACTCCACAGACATTCATTTTAAAATATGTTATCTGCATGATTTAGCAATCCCATTATGACTTCCTGCCAGTCCTTTCCCTTTGATTGTATGGTTGTTACAGGAAGAGGAAATTAGAACAAAGGAAACATTTCAAAATATAAATTGCCAACTATTCTAAGGAAATCCACACCTACAACAAATATCCATGGTGTATTTAAGATTTTTCTTTCTCAATAATGATAAAGATATGCTTTGCAGGTAAGTAAAACTTTGCTTTAAAACAGTGAAATGATAAAATCTTATTAAATTTTCTTTAAGCATTTCTTTCCCAGGGTTCAAGGTAATCCAAGCCAAGGTGTGAAAATATTTCTTCCTCATTTGCAGCACTCAGAAAAATTTTCTGGAAGGAGAAAAAAAGCTCAGTTTAAATAAAAGAAGACCATTTCTGAAACAACTAGATCCATAATTAATGTACTTAGCATTTGCGTTGATCTTGGCAAAAATTTGATAATCTGACTGTCACATTGCAAATGAAAAACATGTTCTTATTCTGCAAAGTTCATGAATACAGAAAAGCAAATAAACAGGGTTCTTTTTTTTCCCTCCTAAGATGTCGTATTTTTAATTTGGCATCAATTAGGTCTCTGCAGAACTCTTACTTCATTTCAATCAATTATTTCATAAATATTGCATTTATGTAACATATATTTTCATTGACCTTTAAGTATACTTAATACAAAATGCCTGTTTTGCAAATGATTTCAGACTATGAATTCCATTTCTGTAGTTCTCATTATAGCTTCACTGATCAATAAGGTACAAGAAGCATGAAGTGAACAATTTTAATTAACATTTTAATCAATATATGATTGCAATTTCACCAAGCTCAAATTTCATACTATATTAAAGCAGAACTTGCTTTTTAAAATATATTCTTAATACTACAAATGTGGTTTAAATGTTCAAACATCACACAAATGTAGTTTTCCATAGTTGCCCAAGAAGCAAATCCTGAATGCAAAATAGGATTTTCCAGTATCTTTGCTATTTTTTTTTCAATGTGTCAATTTCTTAATCCTTAAACTAAGTGTAAAGTTGAGGTCTGAGTAAGCTGAATACATTATTAATTAGTTATAAATAAGAATGCATTCATTTTTTTCTTTTAACCCTTAATCCCTTGCAGCTGGGTAGAGTCGGGGCAACTGAATGGGGCTGAGCATTTACTGGCCAGATGCTCTTCCTGATGCCTATGTGGAGTTCACAGCAGACAATTACTCATTGCCCCAGAGAAAGAAATATCTGCTGTTACCTAGGATCAAACTCACAGCCTCCTGATTGTGAGGCGAAGGCTCCACCTCTAGGCCACCATGCTGCTCGCATTCGAATGTTTATTAATAATTAAGAAATTAATTACCAGAACAATAAGCCTGCTTCCTTTTTTTGTTTAACCTCCAGGGTTGCAACTGAACGTTTCTGCCTTTAATTCAAAATGTGTGATCAGGTTGCATAACTTACAGCTTCTTCTATTGCACTATTAGAAAGCTGCCAAAGAAGGAGGAAAAGATGGAACTGCACGAGGAGAATCTGGTCAGAGACTTTACTTTTGTCTCTTCGGCTTTAGAAGGCAGAGATGTGTTTCTGAATTGAAACCTGGAGATCCTAAATTTGAGATATGGGGAAGTCTCCATGTTTGCTTCTTGAACAATGTATGTCCACGGCTGAGTCAGTCTTACCCTGCAATTTTACCATCTTTACTGCAAAGGTAGACATTCAGTTCTATAACATCCCTTTAAAAAAAAGTGTACATAATTTAACCATCCCTGAAATCTTATGCCATAGCACCATGTTTCAATT